GGGAATCGAACCGTGACCTCCTGGTTCGTAGGCAATGCTCTTAACCATGTTGGCCATGGTAGATGGTTTTTTTTAAATCAGAGTTTTGGCTGTTTGTGGCTGTGTCTCGCTATGCAGCTCTGTCTTTGTGGCAGGACTGCAAGAGAAAAGAAGAAAAAAAAGGGTTCCTTTGCCAAGTTTTGAAACCCCTCCATAAATCACCTGTTTGTTTTTGTTTTACTTTTCAGTCCTTGAGTAGGTGCTTTTATATTTTGTTCAGAGATTTTATTTAGAATCTGTGGGAGAGAAAGACTACATGGCACTTAATCCACCATGCCCAGGAGCCACTTTAGTTTTGTTTTAATTTTAGTTCTTCACCATCTTTTTCTTACAGTCTAGTGTGTGTGTGTGTGTGTGTGTGTGTGTGTGTGTGTGTGTGGTTTTCTTCTACTCTGAGCCCTATTCCAAAGTGGATTTACAATAGTATTTTGAAGTATTTTCTCTATTGTGATATTGCTAATCCACTCTAGGTCCAACAAGTTTACTTGGCTCAATTCCTAATCCCAAAACTGTTTATTTGTATATCATGTCATCCCCACCCACCCCCCAACCCAAGCTTGTAGCCTCAAACAGAGCCCTAAGCATCAGTTCAGCTTAACTTTTTCTATCTTCTTTAAAAAGAAGCCCCAGCTCCAACCAGTAAACACTCGGCCTGTTTACAGCCTTCTCTTTTTTACAGAGTAATATTTTAGTCTCTTTTACTGCAGTTACTTTCAGACTCATAACTCTGGCTTCATCCTTACACCTTCGTTTTGTTTCTAATCCCATGATATTTTGATCTTTTATTTGAAACAACTATATTGTTTTGTCATATATTTCATGCTTTATCTCATTATTGTGTATTCGGATCAGAGTGGTTATGCTGAGATATGAAGTTACTTGTGCCATCTTATCTGGACGTCCCAAACACTTCTTAAGGATGGTAATGTATATGACTCTGGTAGCATCTTTTAATATATTTTGGCCTTGGAAACCATAGTAATTTTTAATATTTGAATAATAACGAAAGCAACTACCATTTTTAAATTAAATGTTATTAGGGTGACATTAGTCAACATGAACATATAGGTTTCATATGTGGATTACTGTTACAATATCTGTATATAGTACCATGTGCCCACCACCCAAAGTCAGATCTTCTCCTGTCACCTTATATTAGGACCCCTTTCTCCCCCCAACCCACTCCCTCTGGCAACCACTACACTGCTGTTTGTGTTCATAAGTTTCAGTTTTATAGCCCACATATGAGGGAAATCATATAGTTTTTAGCTTTTTCTGTTTGACTTATAACTACCATTTTTATAGATAAGGAAACTAAGATATAATTAACTTGAAGTAGGACTAGTAGTCCATGTTCCTATACCAATGGTTTTGCCATTTATTAATTTTATGTTTAAGCTAAAATTCAGTAGGGAATTTTAAAACTGGGAAAATACCAGAGCATCCTTGTAACATTTTGGGATATTCCAGCTCTTTTAAAGATTCTGCTACTTCTCCCCTGGCTTTCAGCTTTTCCTGTAGGGTAGAGAAGACATTGTGTTTTTTGGTCATTATTTGGGCACTGCATCAACTTCTTTCTCTAATTTTGTTACAATGTTGCCCCATGGAAACCCTCTTAGCTCTCAGGAATGGACTCTATTGCAACAAAGAGGTATGAATCTCTGTAGAGGCTGCTCTCTAATGTTTTCATTTCTTCTACAGCTGATGCTGACATTTCTTTCCATGTGGGTGGATAGTTCCATATACTTACCTTTTTCCGCTGGGACTACAAATCCAAATATTGCCATTGGTCCCTATCACAAGAAAGGGAAGTCACTAGAAAATTCTGAGGGCAAAGATATTCTAGGAAGGTGCTGTTGTAGACTATAGTAACACCACTGGGAGCATTGAGCACAGCATCCTTTCTAGAGAAAACTGAAAAATACCATTTGAATATTTTATTTCCATGGAGCAAAACCTGGATATTATTATTTTTCCTATCTTCTTCTTTACTGCTTATTGCTTGTTTGTTTGTTTTTTCTACTGTGCCTATCTTTTTGTTTCTAATTTAGTGCTTCTGACTTACTCTGGGTTTAGAAACCAGGAAACCAAAGATTTATATACTAGTTTTAAATGAACTTTAGATATATCTATGCTGAAACCCTTCATATTCCTGATAAGGAAACTGAGGCTCAGGGAGGTAAAAGTGCTGTTCAAGATAATAGAGTTTGTCAGTAGCACTGATCAGGTTTGTACCAAGAACTGAAATGAGATTCAATGCTTTTTGCATTGTATTCTGGGTAAGTATTGGGTTAGGCAACAAATAATAGGTGCAGGGGGAAAGGTTGCATGAGAGGAATATCCAGAATGAGTGAAAGACAAATGCAGCCATTCGAATTGAAACTTGAGATATGTTTTGGTGCTTTACAATTTAAGTATTAAATGCCAGATTTAAAGGAAGATGAAATGCAGAGGGTGATGGTACAGGAATCAGTGTTTGTGTGGAATCGGTGAAAGGAGTTGAGTGATCTGAGTGCTGTCTAATGCCAACAACTGTTATCTAGCTTGGGACTGAAAGGCATATTTTAGGGTCTCTTTAAGACTGAAATTCCTGAGAATTTTGGGAAACAGGCAGTTAATTTTGTTCTGTACTACCTGTGGGAGGGTCAGGGTTCTAGCAATAGTGGAATGAACGAGAACCCACAGTGATTACGTAGGTGGTAATTGTGGTCTCTCTTAAATCTTGTAGTATTTTTTACTGGTGTTTATAAACAAGCATTGCGTATAGCTAGCTATTGAAGATTTGCTGTACATTTTAGGTACCAGACACTAGATGGAGCAGCATAAACGCAGTGCTAGATTTCTAAGAGACCAAATATGAAAGTTGTGAGTTCTATCAGAACAGCCTGCAAAAGGATGTGTGAGTCAGTTGCAAAGTTTAAATTATAGCTCAGGACCTCTGACACAGTCTTATAATTTCTGCTTCCTTAGGCCACCTGTTTCTGATTACTCCAAAGATTTAACCTGTAATTCATGCTATTGGGAGATGGGTCACTGATTACTTACCCCCCAAGGATTGTCAAAGACAAATGGAAAGATCATTAGCATGAGAACAGAGAAATCCAGCTCCCCAATCCTTGAGGGCCTGTCAAGGTCACTGTAGCCCACTCCCTAAATCCATGTAGCTAGCTGACCCAGACAGCTAGTCACCTGGCACTTCGTTTTCAGCAGCTTGGTCTCCCTTCAAGATGAAAAGTGTGCACTACAATAAACACTTATTCTCCAAAATTTCCAGTGATCTAAAAGAAAACAAAAATGTCAAAGTTTTATTTATTTATTTTGTTTAGCTAACGTTCCAATCCTCAAAGCCTCACTATTCTTAAGAAAAGTGTCTTTGGGAAGGACTGAAGAGTACATCTGTGCTTAAAATGATTTAAAGGGGTATAGTTAGCTTTTGTTCATATAATTCATTTTAGGACCTTGTCTCTAGTGGAATTGTAACAAACTTTTCTACAAAACATATTTCAGGAATGACAGTAAAACTTCAGACCTGAGCCAGAGGAAAGTGAATGGGGGATAGTGAGGTCCTTAAAACCATGTCAAAAGAGGGAAGACACAGTTAATGGAAATAAGGATATTTAGTCTGAAAAGGAACAAGAAGAACAGACTAAGGGGTACTGTGATCACTTTCTTTTGATTTCTGAACATCTTTAAATCTCAAAAGAACA